GGGCTGGCTGGCATGTGGTGCTGGGGGATTGAACTGCGGTCCCTGTGCTTTGCTTAGCTTAGCTTGTTCTAAGTAGGTGCTTTAGACCACTGAGCCATCTTATGCCTTTTTCTTTGTTATTGTTTCATTGCTCTCTCCATGTTAAAAGTACAACCGTTTCTTAGTATTCACAAAGAACTGATTCTGTAACTTCTGTGGATAACAAAATCCAAGGATGCTCAAGTATCTTCTATAACATGAAATGGCACAGTATTTGCATATAACCTTACACACACCCTCCTACACACTATAAATTATTCCCAGATTACTTATAAAACATAATACAATATAAATGTATAACTATACAATTGTGTTATTCAAGAAAAGAAATCCTGCACATAATTAGTACAGGTGCAACTATCACAGGCCTAATTACATGATATACAATCTGTGGATATGGAGGGTGAACTGTATGTTTACTTTACCATTGTAATTCCTGTTGATCTTTTTCAATGCCAGGGACTGAATCCAGAGCCTCACATATGCTACACAAGCGTTCTTTTATTTTTTTCCAAGACAGGATCTTACTATGTAATTCAAACTGGCCTTGAACTCACTAGGTTGCCCCAGCTGGCCTCAAACTTGCAGCAATCCTCCTGCTTCAGCCTCCCAAGTGCTGATATTACAGGTATGCACCATGATTCACTCACACAAAGATTCTGCCACTGAGCTTCACTCCCCACCCCTTGTCTCAGGGTTGACCAGGATGGCCACAAATTTGTGCTTCTCCTGTCTCAGCCTCCCAAATGCTGAAATTACAGATACGTACGACCATGCCTGGGCTATATTCTGCCACTGAGCTATACCCACACCTCTTTCTATTTTGAGGTAAAGTCTCACTAAGTTGACTAAGCTGGCCACAAACCTTTTGTTTCAGCCTCCTGAGTGCCTACGACTATAGGCATGTGTCATGTTGCCTAGCTCTTGATACATTTTTTTTGTTTGTTTTTTGAGGCAGGGTCTCACTATGTTGCCCAGGCTACCCTCAAATTCTCAGCAAGCCTCCTGCCTCAGCCACACAAATGCTGGGATTCTAGGTATATACCACCATGCCTGTTTACTATGTAATTCAAACTGGCCTTGAACTCACTAGGTTGCCCCAGCTGGCCTCAAACTTGCAGCAATCCTCCTGCTTCAGCCTCCCAAGTGCTGATATTACAGCTTTTTCTTATTTTTCATGTTTTGTTTTGTTTTTTTTTTTTTTTTTTTTTGAGTGGAATCACTTGATTTTATTTTGCACTAAGTGGTGGGCACAAAGCAATCCTCCTTAATAAAGCTGACAATTAGCTTTACTCAGAACATTTTTAATAATGCAAATTATTTATTTATTTACTGACGGAACTGGGGACTGAACTCAGGCCCCTTGCACTTGCCAAGGAAGCGCTTATTCTACTGAGCCATCTCCCTGGCCAGCAAATTTTTAAAAAGTATTCATCTTACAAATTGTTTTGCAATCTAAATATACAACAGCTTGGAAAACAACGTGTAGAAAACAAAAGATAAGGTAAAAAGACAGAGTAAAACAACTACAACAGTACAGGTTTTTATGGCTCAGATTCTAGTTTTCTTATTGCATCATCAATGTCAGAAATATGCTCCTTCAGCTGGCTTCACTGTTCTGGATGTAAAGAAATACCTTTTCTTCCTGGTTTCATTTCACCTTCTGGATCCACCCCAATATTCTCTAATATCAATTAGAACTTTCCCTTTAAAGTCCCGAAAACTGACACATCTCATTTTCCCAATCTGAAACATGTTATTGTCTCTGCTGCTGCTGCTGCTCTGCTTAGAAGATGACAGAGCTCTTGAGGATTTACCAGTCTTCTGTGCCTTTACAGGCTTTTCTGGAGCAACTTGCTTTTCCCTCTTAAACTTTTTGTCAACTTCACTGTCAGAATCAGCCTGAAGAGCCAGAAGAAACAAGTTCCTTTGATTTAGGCATCGCTCTGCTGCTGCAGTCAACAGCGTCCTGCTTGCTCAAGACTGATCTCTTTTTCATGTTTTGATGTGTATGTCTGTATTTGTTATAATTAGAGTTCATAAGCTGTGTAATAATTTTCAACAAATTTTAGGGATTTGGGATCATTATTTCTCAATGTTTTTTAAATGCTTTATTTTCTGTTCTTTTTGAGATCTCATTATACATGTAAATGTCCTTTATGCTACTCTATAGCTGAACGGAGCTTTGTTCATTTTTCTTCTATCTTTTTACTCTCTTCTGGAAACCGGATGATGTCTACTAGACTTATTTTCAAGTTCACTAATTCTTCTGCCATGTGAAATCTGATATCAAGCTGAACATGATTGCTCACCCCTATAATCCCAGCACTTGAGATACTAAACCAGAAGGATCACAGCAAGTCTGAGGCCAGTCTGGGCTAAATAGTGAGGTCAAGGCCAGCCTGAACTGCCTAATAAGAACCTGTCTCACACAAAACAAAACTAATAATAAAATAAAATCTGATATGAGTCCCACTAAGTGAATTTTCCATTTCCATTACTGTACATTCCAATCTCAAAATTCACGTTAAAAAAAATTAAATTCTAGCTGGGCATGGTGGCACACACCTGTAATCCCAGCACTCTGGAGGCTGAGGCAAGAGAACTGCCATAAGTTTGAGGCTTGCCTGGGCTATGGAATGAATTCAAGGCTAACCTGAAGTACACAGCAAGACCCTATCTCAAAAAAAAATTTTTTTTTAATTTCTATCTTTAGGATTTCCCCATCAAGTCATTGTCATCAGGTTTTAATTCCTTGAACACAGTTTCTTCTGATTTTTGTTTTGTTTTCTTTAGTACTGAGGATTGAACTCAGGGCCTTGTGCACACCCAGCACACATTCTATTTCTAAACTGTATCTATATCCTATTTTAATTTGGGGGGCAAGTTCTCACTAAATGGTTCAGTATGTCCATCTCATATTATAATCCTTCTGCTTCAGCATTTTGTGTAGCTAAGATTATAGGTATGTGTCACTGTGGGAGGTGACACAGAAATAGCTATCAAGTCTTTATTATACTAAATCCAACATCTAAGGCATATAGCACCACTTTCTATTGACTTTTTTCTCCTTGCTAAATATAGGTCACAGCTCTTGCCACAGCTCTCTCCAATCTAAGCACAGGTTACAGTGCTAGGATTACTGGCGTGCACCACCATGGCTAGCTAGTGCCTGAAAATTTTTAATGGCATTATTAGATATTTTAGGGAGCATTAGCAACTCCAGATTCTGATACTTCGTCTTCAAGGTGGTGGTGGTATGTTTCAACTAAATCTGTGAAATCTATCTCTCTGGCATACCCAGCCGAAGAGATTCTGTCCAGTTCTTCTTTTGTTTCTGGACTTAAGCCTTTCTTCTTGAAGACTGCCCTGTATCTGCAGAGCTTAGTGCACAGCCAAGGACTGATCAGAAGTTAAAACCAAACAACTAGATTAAATAAGACTTTCAGTCTGTTGGTGGATCTAGATGGGGACTGGGGAGATAGCTCAGCAGTCTAAGCACCTACCTGGCAAGTGGTCCCCGGTACCACATGCAATGCCAGCCCTGAAACCGGGCATGGTGGCACATGCCTGTAATACCAGCCCTGGGGAGGCTGGGACAGGAGAATCACTATGAGTCTGAACTGCATAGCGAGACCCTTTATCAAAAAAATATTTTTTAAAAAATAATTCAGGTCATTTTTAAGTTTTCCCTGGCATCCACTGGCCAGACGCCCTACTAGGCTTCCATTGTATATAAGTACAAGTCTGCCAGATCTTTGTGGGTAGCTTAGGCCCAATTATAGTTTCTGCTGTTTATGTCCATAGCTTCTGGTACCTAAGATGTATGAGGGTCTCATCTAACCTGTTATTGCTGCATCACCTCCAGAATTCCCTATTTAATCTCCAGATAGTCTGCCAGTTTGTGTCTTGCCTGAAAAACACCCACACCTAGGGAAGTCACTTACCCCCTTGTTTCCTAGTGACCACCATTTAAACTGACAATGCTCAAAATCAAGCAAACCTCTATGGCAGGAGCAATAGCAAAACTGCTGGTTTCACAATATGGCATAGTACTCTATTTCAGATTTCCTCAAGGCTGGGCATTTGTTGCCAAGGACGATCAATTTTGCTTTGCCCTATTTGATCATCTTCAGCACTTGCTTGTATCCAGAACGTATTTTCCACTTTTTATAATAAGTTGAAACCTAGAGTTGATGGACTCCAGAAATTTTTTCATCTTCCTTGCGGCCACCATCTTCCTGCCTTAGGTGTGGATGGCCCTCAACCAGGAGTAGCCGCCAAAATGGCTGGGGAGCAAGGAAGGAAGGAGTTCCCACAATGCAAAGCCTCGATGAATTTTTATGAACTGTCTCTATCTCTACTCTTTCTTCAAGTATAGCTTAATATATTCTGAGTAGGTCCTTTTATATCATTAGGTCATATTAGAAAACCCTGGAAAATAAGAGGAGAGGGGAGGGGAGGAGAGGGAGGAGGGGAAGGGAAATGGGAGGGGAGAAGAAGAGAGGAGAGGAGAGGAGCATGCCTATATTCCCGTGTGTAAACTCAGGATTGCTGCAAATTCAAGACCAGCCTGGGCCACATAGTGAGTTAAAAGCCTAAAGTATAGTATGCATTAAGACCTATCTCAAAAATCTAAAACAATTCCTGGTACTCACCTCCCACCCCCAAAAAACATACAAAACAAAGAAAACAAAAATGCAGCCAAAAGGGAGAACGAGAAATCTCACCAAGCATGAGTAACCAACCTGTGAGTAGTAAATGGTGAAGATGGCATGGGATCTGCTGCTGGCTTCGTGAACATGGGTGGCTGCTGTGATTCTGTATAAAAGGGAAGAGAGGTAGTACAAAGATTGTTTATGCATGGTAGACCCTGAAGGATCCATGGTGAACACAAGAAAGATTAGTCCTGAAGGTCACAGATGAGAATCAAAAAACATTATGCTAAGTATAGTACAGTTAGGAAATGGTCCGAAGAGAGACACAGCAGCACTTTATGTGCTAATTGCTGAGAAAAAGAACAGATTAGTTTCACACCAACTCATACTGAAACACTGTATAAAATTGATAAAAGCTAACATCAGAGTGAAAGGGGGAACACTACAGTATTATCAACCTAGAACAATATCCCTAACACAGACCATCTAAAGAAGACAGACAAAGGCATAAAGCTTGCTAGAGAAGACTCCAAGACAGACAAAGGTTAGTTGCAGCTGGCTATGGTGGCACACGCCTATAATCTCGGCATTCTCAAGTCTGAGGCAGAAGAATCACCCTAATTTCAGGCTAGCCTCAACTACACAATAGGTTCCAAAAAACAGAAAGAAAATTATAAAACAGGGGCCAGGGAGATGGCTCAGTTGAATAAGCGCTTGCCTGGCAAGCACAAGGGCCTGAGTTCAATCCCCGGTTCTGCAAAAAAAAAAAAAAAAGAAAGGAAGAAAGAAAGAAAAATAAAGTTATAAAACAAAATATTAATTCGTGTTGCAAAGGCTTTTTCTTTTTGGAGAAAGGCTCTCCCTACATAGTCCAGGCTGGCCTTGAATTCTCAGCCCGCAGTGTGCTGGGACTGCAGGCATGTCCCCTCACATTCAGTTTAAAAAGGCTTCTGAAGTGAGACTTTATATCATCAATGTCATGTTTAAATCAAAAGGAATTTACAGTCTCCCTTAGAAATCCATTCTAGTGCTCAACCTTAAAGATGGGAGCCTTGGGGCTGGAGGGATGGCTCAGTGGTCTAAAGCACCTACTTAGAACAAGCTTAGCAAAGCACAGGGACC